GTTCTGGATTAAATATTTCATATATTATTATTATCATTCACAAGAAAATAAATATATAAATGAAGTAAGAAAGGAGGCCATGTTTCAGTTTTTTTTACAAAACAAAATTTCATTTTCTCAAAAAATGGTGCCTAGTGGTGTGGAACCTTTTGGACTTAAGATTCGAACTCAGTACACATGCAAATATAAAAATCAGGAAACATTTCTCAAGGCAGTGAAACAATATTTTTTTTTTTGTTGACCAGTATTATTAATTACCGTCTGTTTTAAAATTTAATAAAATATTATCCAGCGTTTCGATCATGTTTTCTTAAATGCTTCAATGCGTCAATCACTTATACCATCCTTCCTATCTAAATTTTATTCGAACAATTTGAAATTTCCAAGCTGACAACAGCATGATTTTGCGGAGTAACGCGAAAAAAAGAAGTCAAAATTATCTGTAACCAGTATACCCCAGAGAGAGCTCTCACATTAGGGAGTAATCCTGAACGGATTCAAGGTATAAGCGTTATCAGCATGTTTATTCCTATAAGCAATATAATATTTTCAAGATATTATGAATTGCAAACTCAATTGGCGAAGCTTCGTATTGACCAGAACTGTTAAAGAAACAATATACTTAATAACACTAGCTGATTCAGGATTTAATTTTGGGGGGGCTTCAGCCCGAAAACTGTTTTTTTCATAAAAATAACGATAATTACTTTGGAGAAAAAGAAAGAAACTAACTACCTGTATGAAATGGTGTTTAAATGATTCCTAAAGCCTTTTTAAATGATATTAAACAAACAATAATAATTTAAGAGATACTTTTTTAATATTTTTTTCGATAAAACGTGGCTATATTTTACCATTTTGGCTTTCGGGCTGAAGCCCCCCCCCCCCCGTACTGGAAAATGGGGTAACTTTGGGATTGGGTGGGTAACTTTGGAACAGCGAGAAAAAATTAGTTTGTGGTGATTCCGTGATGGATACAATGTGTTGGTCCAGTCTGCAAAAACGTGCTTTGTGTAGGCATATATTGCGCTACTACCTTGCGGCAGTTGGGGAACCCTAGTTCACTACACTCGTTGTGCAGTTAGGTTTTATTAATTTAATTGTTTTTTTCAAAATTTTTATTTTCATGAAACTTTCGCTTGTGTCTCGATAACTGCAAACATTACCGGAATTACAAATGGCCTTCAATGCCTTATGAAATTCACTTCAATTTAATGCAGGGCGGTCCCTCCACGCCCAGTGGTATAATAAAAGGCCTCTGGCCACAGATGCAAAGAACGCATACAGCGTGCATAGCCCACTTACTTTAAAATGCCCTTGGGCAATAAAAGGAAATTGAAAATTTATGTATATATACATTTATATATATATTGTATTTTGTAATCAAGAAATTCCTGGGGGGGTAGGGAAAAAAAATGAAATTCACTTTGTTTCAATAAACATTTTGGAGGTTAAGAAAAAAAAAAAAAGATTCACTACTCAAAAGACTAATTGGCCTGCGCCAAATTTTCAAAGTGAAAGAGCTGCAAGTTTATAGCGATATCTTGGCTTCAGTTAACAAAAACTAAATTGTACGAAGTGTTTGGATAATGTTTATTACATTTTCTGTATGTTCAGTAAATGTTAAAGGCCTAATTGTATAAAAAAATTATGATTTGCAATATGTTTGTACCATTAATACGACTTTATTGTTTTAGTGTGCTCATAACATAATATTGTTCGATAAAATTGGTATACACTCATTTCCTTATTGTTTCTTATGTTTTTTTTTTTTTTTTTTTGTTCTTCCCTACCTCGCCTTTTAGGCTATACGGGATTTTCCCGGGCCGGGGGTGAGGGCGGAGAATTTAAAATCCTCTCGGCACCGGGACGCGAACTCGTACTTTTTATTTATATCATCTCAAATCTCTGTTATCCGGTTGCCAGGCAACTAGCGGTGTTGTGCACACGCTTTAGCCTATTCGGCCACCCCGCCCCCAATTGTTTCTTATGTAAATAATGAGCCTATACGATATTGTGGCGTATGATTGGTACAAAATCATGTATCCCGCCGTTTCTAATGGAGAAATGCACTGTCCCAATTCTATTCCAATCAATGGGGTAAGATTAGAACACATTAAAAACCTTTTTAGAAAAATACTGTTGTTTTTATAGTTGTTGTTCTGCCATATTTTGCAAAAGCAAGACTGGTCTTAGATATTAATAATTTTTTCAGCATTTAAACTTTGAAAATAAAGAAAGAAGCAACATAAACCTATCAAAAGTGTTCCAATATTACCTCATCTTACGGTATAACTATTCCTAACTTATTCTAATCCATTATTGTACATAGAATAAAGAAGTATTTCTTCTATTTATTATAAATATCAAAAAGTGTCTTTCTATATTATCCATAGTACCCAGAAAGAACTGTTCTCTTCCAATTATCTTTTCAATAGATGTTTAGTTTGTCAAGGCATTAGGAGATATAGCGAGATGTAAGCTCTGGATTAGGTAGCAATAGGAAAAGACTTTTTTAAGTAGTGATCGTAGACTAGAGATTTAAGAAGAAGAATTCGGTACACATGTAACATGGGATTATTAGATCAATGAATTATTAGAGAAACCCGTGGGAAATAAGCAGTGCCCGCCAAAGACACGGCTCCCCGAGAAATGACGTCATCTCCTCCCCTCCCTCCCCAAAAAATTAAATTTATTTCATTCAATATTTTTCTAATACAGTTCCTTTATTAATAGGCTAAAACTATTTAAATACTTTTTATAAGTATTTTTTTAACATTCTTAATAAGTGGTGAAGGAATTCTGCTGATAGATTCAAATGGAAAGCACTCGTGGACGTTCTATGCTCCAGTGGGAGTCAAAGGAATAATAATAACTTTGACACACCAGGGAAAATGGCCCTAGGGTCGGCCATGAAAATAAGTATGATAGGCAATTCATAGGACACGAGATATAATTTGTACACTCTGTATTATAGACAACGGCATTTCAAAATCCTTATGCATTCATGATTACAGAGAAAAAGAAACTGGTAATAGTGTGAAGATTATATTTTCAAGAATCTTTTCAAGAATCTTTTCAAGAAACATTTCACTCAAATGCAATTGAAGAGAAGCCATTGTGCTGAAAATGAATATCAACTGCTCTAAAGGAATAGAAACTACTGAAAAAAAGAGTTAACAGAGTTTTACTTAAGATTCGTATATGAATTATTACATAAACATAATTGTTTTTATTGCAGAAGACGTATATGTAGACGAATTGCGAAAGCTTAGCTTGTATAATTTTCCAGACAATGTTGATCATTCAGTGAGTATAAAAATAAGCGTGAGAGATTCTGCTGTACCAAGAACAGAGAGCAAGTATTGTTTTTTCAAACCGCTTTATAAATAGTTAGATTAAATTAATGTTTCAAACAAAAAAAAAAAAAAAAAATTTTAAAAATGAAGTTATACATATTGTCTAAACTGTTTCATTTTCCTCGTAATACATTTCTTAGATGATAAACTATCAATTAGAGTCAAATAAGTATTTACAATTTTGATGGATTATACACTTGAGACGTCTTGCCGATCATTGGAGTGCTGTTATCCTATGACCAATATCTGACCCTCTGTCATCCCAATCATCAATCATATTATAGATTGATAGCTTCCGTTTGTATAAATACTATTTGACAATAGGTTTAGCCATCATTGGACAAGAGGTAAGTTACAAGCAGAAATCAATTTTATTTTAGATATAACTGTTTTTAAAAATTAATGCATTATTTTTCTATATTTATTTTTCATTCTCTGTGGCATATAAAGTTCTGGTTAATAATTTAATTTGACTAATAGGCTTTGCGTTCTTATGAAAAGCTTTACAATGCTGGAGAGACAGAATCACATCATAGTGAATGAAAATCACGTATTCGTCAATAAATACAAATAAAACTTTTATGGTCTTACATAATTCAATATAAATTTACAGTAAAAATTAAATCTCTCTTTTATTTCCTTCATTTATGTTCTTTCTTTGTGTACATAGTTTGTAAAAATGTGGTCCCTCAATAATTTTACTAACGCAATCCTCTTCTGGGCACCCCTGCAAAAGAATATCCTGTACTTTTTATTCGCTAGATTTTTCAAAGCATCCTGTTCTCTTGAAATCTGGAGAAGATCGGTAATGGTTATCAAGCCTAGAAAATTTGTTCAGCTATTAAACATTTCTCTAAAAAAAGTTTAAAATTTGAATTTTGAAAAATTAATTTCTGAGTTTTTTTTTCCAACACTCATTGTTTTTTATTTAATTTGGCTACATTGCCTTTCAAACTTATATACATTATATGATAATAATTCATGTCTTAAGATTAAATATTTTAGCCCAGTAATTTTGTTTACATTTTCTGTAGCAATTTTTAAAAACCGTACTAAGTGCAAAGTGCGCAATTTTGTTTTTATTATTTCTTCAAATAATTCAAAGAATGCTACCAAACATAAAAAAGATTGTAGTGGTAGGATACCGGGAATTTCACAGATTGCATAAGTGTATTTTGTGTATTTCAAAGGCTTTATCATAGCCATAAAACTAGTTAAATATAAATTAATCCAGTTAAAAACAAATATAGTCAACTGATTTGAAACATAAATAAAATAATCCCGCAGCTATTTCTCAACTGGTAGAACTGAAGACCGACTGAAGACCGACTAGATGTAACCAAACTATTCCGTGCTTTAAACGAACTTTGAATTTTTACCATGTCATCACCTATTTATAAAAAGGATGCCATATTACATATCTCATATTTTGAATCTTTTTTTTTTTGCCCATCTATATCTGCGATCGGTCCCACTGTGAGAAGGGGGACTCATTTACGTGCATTTTGAGCTGAGATTTAATGGAAATTAATTTGTCCGAAACATAAAAATTAATTGAACAATTATTAAAAACTAAATATCTATTCTATTTCATATTCCACAACACGACATTGCTGCTAACTAAAGTACGTCTTTTTAAATAGGTTTCTCGTTTCTCAAGATGAAGATCTTTTTTCTCCTTTTTGTTGTGGCTGTCAGCCATGCGCTTCCTCACGATGAATGGGAATTGTTTAAGGTAAATATTCAACACATGACAATTATTACTACATCATATAGTCCATGGTACAGAATCCTTCTTATCAGATTATTAACATCCAACTGAAACTTCGTAAATAGCTTCATCTCATCGTAACCTACAAACATTTTATTTACGAAAATTCTTGGATTTGGGGCGTTTGGAAGTCAGAAAACTTTGTCTATTTAATTAGGTACTAAAAACCCGTAAATACACATTTTCTTTCCACTTTAATCATGAGATAACTTAAGCACAAAGTCGAGAAAAAAGGAGGCCTTAAAAAATATTGGGCAGTTAGGCATATATAACCTCGTTATTTTGACCTTTGTTCTCGACTTTGTGCTCAAGTTGTCTTACGATTAAAGTAGAAAGCAGATGGGTATTTACGAGTTTTTAGTACCTTATTAATTAGACAAAGTATGCCGACCCCCAGATTGAAACGCCCCAATTCCGAGAATTTTCGTAAATATAATATTTGTAGGTTACGTACGATGAGATGAAGCTATTTACGAAGTTTCAGCCGTATGTTAATAATTTGATAAAAAGGGATCTCCACAACGGACTAATAATGGTTATTGTTTATTACATCTATCAGTAACCTATTACAAATATCATGAGTTTATTGTAAAAAGTCATTGAGTATTATTCCATGAAATTTAATCATTATGAATTTAGATGACCTTTCTCTATGTGAAATCAGAACATTTTGCACCTATAACTAATTATGTATGATATATTAAATTGTTTTGTATAATTTTCATGTATTTACAGTGTGTTTGTATTCATAATTAACGTTGAAATTTCCAAAGATGTATTTAAAAGTTTATCTAAATCCAAAATGCATTTAGTGACTTTTGGCAATAAATCAACAATTTATAATATTTTAGTGTAATGATTATTAAAATTACAAAATCAATGTTAACAAAACCAACAAATTATCCTCAGATATCGCATGGGAAGAAGTACAAAACATTAGCAGAAGAACAACACCGAATGAATATTTTCTATGACAACAAGCAGTTCATCGAAAATCATAATAAAAATTTTGAACAAGGCCTGGTCTCTTTCACTCTGGAAATGAACCGTTTTGGAGATTTGGTATGATCTATTTGCTTTATTTTATAATCCTTAGTATTTATTATGTAATGTATTGATTTTCATCGTAACATCAATAAGTGTATTTTCCGATAATTATAAATTAATACTATACCAATTTATAAATGTTGTTTCTTCATTTAAAAAATAAATTGAAAATTCGTCATTATTGATTTAAAAATAATTCGTAACAACAAAGGTCTGCTCTTCACTACTATCTACTAAAAACATAAATACCTAAACGCGAGTGTAAATTGCTAAAATATAAATTCGCTAACACGGCTACCTAGACAACTCGAATCTATAGACAACTCGAAAACCTAGAAATTATTTTTTACCTATAACTCACGAACTGTGCATACAAGCGCATATGTTAAAGGATTGAATAATGTTTAATTATGCTTCGAAAGAGTATTGCAACATAATAATTTAGACAAATGTTATAGTCGAATGCATTGTCAACCTCAAGCGAAGCTACCCAAAATGGTAAAATATTATCTAGTAATCTGACTCTCCCTGAGTAGCACATACCTATCCAATATCATTTTGGATTTAGTCCAAGGAGTCCTTACAAAATAATTGACATTATCTGATGAATATTTTTAAAGCATTTTTTTTTTGTTTCATAACATTTTAATATAATTATAAAAGCGAGAGTCTGCTAGTCGGAGCATGCTAACTGAAAATGGCGGCTGACCTAAAGAATACTAGGCCAGTAACTCGTGTATCGAAAAGAGAAATTTATTGAGAAAAATGTTTTTAATTTGTATCTAAGGGTTCAAACATTAAAAACAAAATTTCTAGCTCGGTAAACCAAGGGAAAACATTTTACAGCCAAAAAAGCCAGATATTTTCGTCCTTTTTTTGTTTTTTCGCCTATGATTCCTAAACGTACATCCAATCGAATAACGTACTTAGGTCGATAATCGCGGCCTACGAACGCTGATTTTTACTAAATCTGTAAAAAAAAAAACAATTATTAAATTGCCCATTTATTTATATATTTATACTACATATGGCTTTCATTCCTTTTTTTTTTTTTTTTGTCCTCATTATGCCTGAATAGGTGAAACGTTAACAAGTTACCTTTTCACCTGTATGTTAGGCACTAAGGATTTATGGTTTAGATTTTTCCATATATATCCTTTTTCAGTTGTATATTCATTTATATTAATATCATTGTAGATATTCCATAAAATAGGTTATTCCAATTAATCATCATGTTTATAGATGAACCACGAATTCCGAACAATGATGAACAGATACAACAGTACAAAAGCAGCTAGAACTAGACAAGATTCATCAACTTATATCAGATCAACCGATGAAGAAGTTCCCGAATCTTTTGACTGGAGGCAGGAAGGAGCGGTCACCCCTGTCAAAGATCAAGCACACTGTGGCTCATGCTGGGCTTTTAGTACTGTAAGTATATTTAATTGTATATTAGGTTGTCTTATAAGTTGTTGTTTAAGGTTGATTTACTGAGTTATATATGAACCGTTCTGCTCTATCACCTTCTCCCATTTCTCAGTAATCTTCTTATACCCTTTTTTATAGGAATCGTAAAATTAGATTTCTGAATAACTAAAAAGTATACACATGAATTAATCAAGAGTTTACAAAATTTCCTAAAAAAATAACAAAAACAGTTGAAATCGAACAATTTGGTGCAAAGAAATGGTGTTCTGGATATTTTGTATACGTTCTAGTGCAAAGCTTATATCCTTTGTTTTAATTTTTGGAAAGTTTTACGTCAACTGAAGCAATGTTGTCCATTTTTATTACGAAATTACTAATGGTAAACAAAAAAATATTTAGGCCAATATCAGGAATTACCTTTTATTTATTTTCCTTTATGATACAAGGAAAGTAATGTTACTTTTGATGTATAATTGTTTGGAAATAATAAACCATGGTGTTTTTTATTTAAATTCTGAGATATAACACAATCGGCCACATATAAAAATGTGAAGACCTTTCCATGAAACTGAAAAGTTAATTTAAGTATGCTTACAATTAAGAACAATTAGAGAAAAAATCTTCTAGACTGGAGCTCTTGAAGGACAACACTTCAGGAAGACCGGGGAATTGGTTTCTCTCAGCGAACAGAACTTGGTCGACTGTTCCAGCATGTACGGCAACAATGGGTGTCAAGGAGGACTCATGGTTGACGCTTTCAAGTACATTGCTGAAAATGGCGGCATCGACACTGAAGATTCTTATCCTTATGAAGGAAGGGTGAGCATGTCATTGTGTGTTACATATCTCATCTTATATTACTTCAACCATTTATGAGTATCTTTGCTATAGGACGGCATGTGTAGATTCAGGAAGTCAGCTGTTGGTGCTGTTGACTCGGGAGCAATCGAACTCCCGGGAGACGATGAAGAGGCCCTCAAGAGTGCAATTGCAACAATCGGACCAGTCTCCGTTGCCATAGACGCAGGGCAAGATTCATTCAGGTTCTACAAGAGTGGTGGGGTTTTAAAGAAATGATTTTAAAATATGTTCTCCAAGTTTTCTATATTTTCTTAATATGATATTTTCTCTGATCCTAGGTGTCTATGAAGATAGCAACTGTAGCCCCGCCGGGCTGGATCACGGAGTCCTTGCGGTTGGCTACGGCTCGGAGGATGGACAGGACTTCTGGTTGGTGAAGAACTCCTGGAACACCGGTTGGGGAGAAGAAGGCTATATCAGGATTGCCAGGAACAAGGGAAACATGTGTGGCATTGCCTCAATGGCTAGTTTCCCTAAAGTATAACCTAGTCAGGCAGGTCCTGCTGTTGACATGCACTTGTTGTTGAAATGAATAAAAGTTTTATTATTGATTGAATACTATGATTATATCTCGACCATTTAAAGACAAAAAAAAAAAAAAAAAAATGAGTCAACAAATGCAAAATCGTAAACCTGCTCTAATAAAGTATCACTCTAATAAAGTATCTAAAGTAAAAGCTGGTGTTCATACTATGACCATGGTTGGCCGCAATTTTTTTTTTTCTAATAGCTTATTTATTGAAATATATTACAATCTGTCTCAGGAACATTAATAATAGTGTTCACAGATCACATTCACACTCTATCTACAGTAAATAAAATAAATTATACAGAAAAATAATATATATACAATAAATAAGAATAAAATAACCTAAAAATAAACAAAGAAGACATGCACACCTATATACAATATTTACAACTTGGCGAGAGAATTCCAAACCAGACTTGTCCCTCCAACTGTGGAGGAAAAAGTATGACTCCAGGAGTTCCCTGCACTCCTCTCTCAACCGCGTCACTAGGGCTAAACCCAGTGGAGATTGAGCAAGAGTGCTTTAGCCACATACACTCATGTCGTGAATGGAGAATCTGGCCATTGCCAGAACTCCAATATTTACAAACTATAAAAGATCGCGGGGCCACTGCCGTTTTAACTTCCTTGGAGGAATATATGGATGGGTGGTGCTGGATAGAGATTTTGCAAAGGGATTTGGATGATGGGTAAGGTTCTGGTGGAATTTGGAGAATTTTGCTGGGATAAGGTCTAGGACAAATGGGATATTAAGGTCATGGTGTAGTGTTTTGTTGGTTACATAGAAAGGAGCATTGGCTATTGTTCGAAGGACTTTTGATTGGAAGGATTGGATGCGTTTGATGTTAGTAAATTTTGCTGTTCCCCACAGTTCAAGTCCGTAAGTCCAGATAGGTTTCAGTATTGTCTTGTTGATCAGTAACTTGTTTTCAATGGAAAGTTTTGATTTTCTGTTTAGTAGCCGGTATAGTTGTCCGTATCGTCGGTTTAGTTCCTGTCTTTTAAGTCTAGTATGAGGGTTCCACGTTAGTCGTCTGTCTAAGAGAAAGCCAAGGTACCGGACTGTGTCCGAGAAAGGAAGCTGAATGGAATTAAAGTGTACTGGTGGACAGGAACTGCGTCGGAGCGTGAAGGTGATGTGTTGGCATTTGGATTCGTTTACTTTAATTCGCCATATATTACACCAGTGCTCAATCAGGGAGAGATGTCTTTGAAGGTTTAAGGATGCTATATCAGGATCTGAGTCGGATGATAGAATGGCGGTGTCATCAGCAAAAGTTGCCAGGAAGGTATCGGGATGGACAGGGATATCAGCGGTAAAGAGGATGTAAAGGACGGGACCCAATACGCTACCTTGAGGAACACCTGCCTCAATTGGATAGTAATTCGATAATTCACTACCGCAGCGAACTCGGAAGGTACGATCTGAGAGGTAGGAACGGAGTACAAGGTACAAGGACTGAGGAACATAGGTTTTCAGCTTGGAAAGAAGCCCGGCGTACCATACCCGGTCAAAAGCTTGAGCTATGTCCAGAAATGCACCCGAGCAATATTGCTTGCTTTCCAAGGCTGCGGAAATATGATCGACCACTCGGAGTCCTTGTTGGACTGTGGAGTGTTGTGAACGGAATCCGAACTGATGTGAAGGAAAATTTTGGGATTCTATAAAGGGTAGGATTCGTTTCAGGAGGATCTTTTCAAAGATTTTTGAGAGAATCGGAAGTAGGCTAATTGGTCTGTAGGACGTTGAGGTGTTGGGAGGTTTGCCTGGTTTCGGAAACAGGATAATAGTGGAATGTTTCCACAAGAGAGGAAAGTGGGTGGTTCTTAGGATGGCATTATATAAGTAGGTGAGAAATATAACAGCTTTAGGAGGAAGTTGTCGAAGGATTTGAGAGGTAAGGAGGTCGTATCCAGGAGATTTACGGAGAGGAAGTTTTTGTAAGTGATGTTTGACCTCAGAAGGATTAACTGCTTTAGGTGGCAAGGAAAGTGGAATGGGTGATGTAAGGAATTCTTCTACTGTTGTGTTATGGGTGAGGTTGGATTCCGGATGAGAGGTAAATGTTCTGGAGAGATGTCTGGCGAATTCCTCAGCTTTATCTTCATCAGACGCTGCCCAGGAGCCATCGCTTCGACGGAGGAGATGGGAAATATGATGGGATTTTAGGATTTTGTTGGTGATCTTCCATAAGGAATTGTCATGAACAGATGATAGGGATTTGAAAGTGGCCGATTCCTGCTTTAATTGTTTACTGTAAAAATTATAGGAGCGACGATCGATGGGGTGTCTAGTACGTTGCCATAATAATCTGGCGCGGCGTTTGGTATGGATTAGGTCTATGAGGTGTTGAGGTAACTTATTTTTCTTGAGAGTTCTTGAGGAGTGGTTTGGAGAGGAAGCAGTCCAGATTGCTTGTTGGATAGTGACTGGAAAGGATAAGGTTTTGATTACAATAGCGGTTGACTGTAGGAAATCTTGAGTGGGTAATGGGAGTAAGTGATGGGAGAGGGATTGGTGTACGATGACAGCAGTACCGGCATGTGCTCTGCCGTCAGGATGGTCAGTACGGTATATTAAATACTGTGGGATTTTCAAATGCTGTTTTATGGTCAGTCGAGTTTCCGTAATAAGGGCTACGTCAATGTTCTTGTCTTGTAGTAAAGCTGTTAGTTCGTCAACGTGATTTCTAACACCATTCGCATTCCAAAGGAGAATGGATATGGGTTTTGGGATGTGAGTCATTAAGGAATTTTTAAAGGAGGGATGAGGAGAGATACGAGATTTGTAAGGAGTGATATGAGTGGAATAACTAGGGATTTGAAATCGGTGAGGAAAGATGCTAACAAACTGGTGAGATCTGTTGCATTTGAAGGAGGAGGAATTTGAGGTTGTTGATGATTATGTGTGTTAGGATGAACACAATATTGAGGTTGGGGCTGAGGTAGTTGCTGCGACAGGGCTTCACATGTATTATTGGGGTTCTTACCTCCAAGTAGTTCGGAGTAAGATAATTTATTATTAACTATTCTAGAAGGTTCTCTTCTTGGTCTGGTTGTCTCATCTTGAACCCGGTTCTTCTGGTATCTGGATTTGAGGCTCTTGTAGGTTTGGCAGCCTTTTTAGTTGGCCGGGTGTCCCTCCTGGCATAGTGCACACACTGCAGGATCTTGTATTGGTTTGGTGCACTCCACAGATTTGTGCTGTTCACCGCATTTCACGCAACGCGGCAGATGGTGACAATAAGTTTTCGTGTGGCCATACGGCTGGCAATTGTGGCACTGTACAATTTCCTTCTTGGGGTATGGCTTCTCTATCTTCACGATAGTGTAGTACAATCTCTTGATGTCATATATTTTTTCAATACCAGGTGATGGCTCTAGATCCACGAAAAATAAAGGTAGTGGAACTTTATTACTTACTCCTGGCTGCTCCTTATTCTCCTTCAGAACGTTGGTTACTTGACGCACTTTGAAACCAAGCGTCGCTAGTTCTTCTTTTATCACTTCAGTTGGGGTTGAGGAGTGTAAATTTCTTACCACCACTCGTAGCGATCTCTCCTGTTTCAGCTGGTATGTGTGGAAATTTGCATTCGTTTCGGACAGATACTTCACAATTTTTCGGTAGGTTTCTGCAGTATCTGGTGTTATTTTTGTATCGTTGGTCCTATTGAGGCAAGAATAACTGCCGGAGCAGATTTCGTTTAGTTGTGTACACAGTAGTTGAAAATTTTTGATATTTTTTACAAATATCGGAGGAGGCCTTGGTTCCCTAGGTACTGCTGCTGACTCCATTACTTCTCTGTCATTATGAAGCACTTGGAACGGGTTTGGAGTGAAGAAAGGAGATTCTTCAACCATTTCTTGCGAAGAGGTACCTGGTTGAGGCTGAGGTTCTGTACCTGAAGTTTTCACTGTGGTTATTGGAGCAATTTCTCGCAGGCAGCGACGAGTTCTTTGTTTCGCTGGTGAATCACGAGGGGTACTAACGCCGTCTGACCGAGTCCTTTTAGTGGGCACCTTACTGGACATCACTTGCTGACTATGCCGCATATCATAAGAGAAAAAAAATTAAAATTAAAAAAAAAAAAATTAAAAATTAAAAAGAAATGTAGCAATCAGTAAATAACAACTGCTATAGAGTACACTTCAACTGTATTCAGTAAATAATCAAAGAGATTCCGCTGAAAAATAGGCAAAAACTGAGAGAAGATTTCAGAACACGTCCTTCGCATCAGCTGGCCGCAAATAGAATACGTATAAAAAGTAATATATACAATATGTTTCCTGAACACGAGAAGCTATATTAAGATAACAAATTTCCAATGTGTTGGAACAATTATGTGGATTAATAATAATTAATCCTTTTTGATTTGATGGGCTTCATTTTCTGTTTTGGTTTGTAAACCCTAAAGCCAAACGAATTAGTTGTCATAAAAAAAATTGGAGTGAAAATGAAAAATTAAAAAAATAAAATTGTAATAACACCAACAAAAATATGTTTTGTTACGGATATAGCACCTGAAGGGGTAACGAAAGTCCTGTGAGTGGACACACCATATATTTTAGCTTATAGTTTAGAATTTATTTCTTGAATTTCAATGATTAAATTTTTCCTAGAGCATGAGAAGATTCCCCCACAACTTCCTTATGCCATAAACCTAAATACACCGGTAGGCATAACAATGATAAATGATAGCAATAAATTATTTTACAACAAAAACCACATGTCTCAATACCTTGAAAACCATCAGATACCTGGATTATCCTTATTGATAGAAACAGATTTCAGAATATCTGGCTATCGATATCTTAATCCCGACTAATGTGTTATCAGTTACTTATTTTCGTCATTTGATCTCGAAGCAACATCTCTGCGGTAGCTGCAACGGCGTGAAGGTAGGTGGAAAAGATTGTTATCTGAATACGTAAATTCGTGGTGTCATTTTTTGAGCTACTACATTGGACATAATTTAATTTCAACTTACTATATTATTCTATGATTGAAAAAAAATGGTGATAACCATCGGATTAGACTGGACAAAAACTTGTATTTAAGATTCTCCTATTCGATCAAACGTTCTCAAAGATGGTGCAAGTGGCATGATCCAAAATTTTAGATATAACTTTAAATTTAATTTTTGGGCAGCAAGACTCTTTTTATAGCTATATTTTATTAGTTCAACAGCACATCAACATTTTTACGTATCAAGGCAATATACTCATCTTTTAGAACAATGTTGCGAAAGATTAGAATTTATTTCACCTGAATTTATACTAACTTAAACAAAAATGTCCCCAAACAATATACTCTTTCTTTCAAATAATATATTTATAACAGGTTAAATAATAAAATAAAAATAATAATTCTGTATTTTCTGTCAGTAAGTACTGTCATTTTCTGAGTATGATCAGAAAATGACAGTACTTACTAAAATAACTGTCTCCCTGGATTATATCTCAGTAAATATTACTTAATTGTTACTGTAACGTTACGGCCATTTATTCACCATCAAAAGTGATCGCTCCCTCAACACTCCAATACAAATGTTGAGGGTGCGAGAACCCCCCTCCGATAATTCGGAATAAAAAAAAAATTAAAATCAATTATAAATAAGCTTCATGAATGATGTAACTAAAATTAATTAAAAGTGATCTAGTTGGCTGCTAGGGCCTGTAGTAGGTATGTAACTATTTTACTGATCTCTAAATGTTACATTTATTTAAATTGCCATTTATATTCAAAAATAATAATGTATATCAATACATCCTAGGATTTTATAATCAATCACCCATAAAGTTTCACGTGATATTCTTATCACATCTTCCGCGGCAAATTAATTGAACTGCGAAAAACGTTGCATTTATTTGGTTGAACACACTAAGAAATCAGAGAAATTTTTCACTTTTTATAATTATTCATTTTTAGCTGATAAAGTTCTAAAAATGTAGCGATGTTATGAAGGCTGCCTCTCCTCTGTTTATTCCAAACAAACAAGTTATATATTCAATTGAATTTTCATTAAGATATTTTCATGTAAATATGATAACTAAAACAAAAAAAAATAATAATTCGTACAGCTATGTAATTATTAGAATTATTATTGTTGAGTTATTACAACAAATTGATTTTAAATATTCAATATTATATTTATTCGTTTCACAAAATAATGTTGAATTTTTATACATAATAAAAACTCCCGCCATTTTTTTTTCTATTGCGCCTCTCCCAAATCAAAATTAAAAGTCTGTGCCTATACACTGTACTACAGCTATTATAATATTTTAAAACCACAATCTTACACTGTAGGATATACAGAACCTTTTCTCTTCGACTGTAAAACTTTTTCTTTTGCTCTTTTCCGCTGTTCCTTGTATCTTTCTTAATCTTCCATGTATTTTGTCAGAAGATACCGTTTCCATAATTCCTGCTTTTTTCTCCGCTTCTCACCCCTTCGTTCCACCAGGTTGTTCTTTTTAATCGTTGGCCAACATTGGTTTTCCCAAAAACCTCCTCTGCTGCTCCCAGCAGTATTTGTTTTATTGCTTTCCAGCTTTCCTCTGTCTTGTCAGCATCCCATAGATATTCTCTGCTAATTGCTTTTACTTCTATTGCAGAACTAGATCTTGACTTTTCTTTTTTTGTGTTTGAGTCCTCTAAAAGCATATCAAATGTCAGCAGCATATGATTTGTCCCTAACTCATATCCTCTCTTGACTCTGACGTCTTTTGTTCTCCTTATTTCCTCTTTTGGGACCAAGAAGTAATCAATAATAGATTTTTCGTTTCTGGAGGATTCTGCTCTTGTGATTTGGTGTATTTCCTTGTAAGAGAAAAAGCTGTTCGCCACTGTTAGCCAGCCACAGCTAGACAGAGGTTTAAAATTCTTACTCCATTGTCATTCCTGAAGCCATTCTCCACGTCCCCCTATCACTCCATGCCATCGGTCTCCATTCTCACTCTGCCATTAAGGTCTCCCACACAATGATGGGGGTTTCCGTAATGTCATCTAAACTCTTCTGTAAGTCACCGAAGAAACTTTCTTTATCTCTAACACTGTCATTATCATTGGTGCCATACGAAATGAACAATCTATATTGTTTGTGTTCAAGTTTTAACTGCACACTCATAATTCTTTCACTTATTGCACTCCAGTTTTGTATGTGCATTATGCATCCTACTCCGTCTTTTGCATGTTCCTGGTGATTTATTCCTGAAAACAGCAGCACATTATTGTTAAGCCTGTTGTTAGCTCTATCTCCTTTCCTCTTATTCCCTTAATATTCCATGTAGAAAGTGTAATATACCTTTTTTCACGCCGAGTCTTGCATCATAATATCCCACCGGCTCTATTTCGTTCTGTACTTTTCATAAATATGAATCTCGGGTTGACAGGGTACTCAAAGTCTGATGAAGGGGCTGCCTTCTTAGAGCTTCCAGGACAGTTCTCCCTTGCTTCATGACGTAGGTAGAAAACTGTCACTACTGACCTGAGACGGTGGTTGAATGCACCCACTCAGGCTGCATAGGGATATCCCTCCTCCTTCCTCAACCGGGCTCGGAACCGGCTATGGCGGAGTTTTCGGTTTGTAGTTATAACTTGGTTTTAATTGAAACTCCTTGCTGAACGCACCTTCTGACCTGCAAGGACGCAGGTCTTCTGACAGGATACCTGTAAAATCGGGTCGAAACGTTGGCTTGAAATAAAATAGTTTTTCCGCTATTTTCGTCTCTTTATGACCTTCGCTCCGGACCATCTCCTTCCTTTAAAATATACAACGGTTAACTATCAAATATTCTATTTAAGTTATTTTATTTTACGTTTCCTATATACTTTTTGATCATTATTTCGCTTCTGTTTATTTTATGCATTTTTTTGTAGATATATAGATCTTACCTCCCTATATCCATTGTCGAAGTGACAGAATATTATTCAATAAAGAAATTATACATTACAATAACTGGTCAAAATTTTAAACACATATTAATATATGAAATCAGCGAAACATGAAGGTGAACACATCTTTTTCAAGAAAAAATAAACATTCGTGTAAAAATCAACAATTTGGTCTTCCAAGAGACCAATAAGAGTTTTCTGGGCATCTAAGAGCAAAAAACCAAATTCACTTATGTCACAACCGTGCCCTCAAAATATGTCACAACCATTCCAAACGCACTTATTTCCAGGTTCGAATCCCGGCTCAACGCAGAAAAATATTTATTCTGTTTTGCCGTGAGGCGACCCTGGGTAAGTAGACCCTCCTGTGATACACCCGGCCTCTATAAAGTGGGTACCCTTAATTAAAATAATTGATTAAGGAGGAAAACCTGGCGGTTGAGCGCGATATCGGTTAAATCACCTCCTTGCACAAACGTAGACCAAGAAACAGTGCTTTCCCTAAATAGTACTGAACCCCAGGACCCTTCCTGGGTTGTAGTCGTATAAGTTTTTTTTAGTTTTTTTTTTTTACAAATATTACGTTTTCTTTCAATCAAGGACATTTATAATACAGATCAAACATTTATAAGACATTCATATCATATTTACAGAAAACATAAATAACTTAATTAAGTAATAGTAATATAACAAAATAAAACAGTATAAATATAATACAATAGTGCAAACATAATCAAACAGAATAAAGAGTATAAAATAGTTTAAAGAGGGTAAGTAAAAATAAAAATCCTGAATCCACTGCTGAATAGTACAGAAAAATAAGTAAGGATATGCATCCTCGGAAAGTTTTTAAGAGTATATGTATTATTTGTTGCCATAATACAACGCAATTTGTTAATGTTTGGATTTAGTGCGATGATGGATTCGACACGAGAGATAAAAGGATATATTTGGTATTTGTCATTTTAAACTTTTATTCAAGTGGAAGAAATCATTTAAATATACTTTTATTTATTTATTTTATTTTTTTTTTTTTTAGCTGTAGCGATGAGGCTGCTGGTTTTGCTCACGCTTCTTGTAGCAGCGTATGGTTTATCGTCTCGGTTTTGGCACTCTTTTAAGGTGAGAAAACTTTAGTTATCATGCTTCAAAATTTAAACTTTTAAAAAGTTTCAAAACCATTATAATTATAACTTTTTAGTCTATTTTATTCAACTATTACACAACACCGAAGGCCATCGGAAAGTTGTGATATTGGACTTCAGATCCAGAACATAGGCTGTGGTGATTCTTCCATTTTCTCATTCTGACTTGAATGGATCGATGAGATATCCACCAGCCTCTATCTGTAATCTATTTACGTTATAATCCAATTCACGTAAACTTAGTTAACGTAATCATAGTTCTTGGTCGTTCAAACATTCTTAAACTTGACAAATTCAAGTCGCTCCTACAAATCTATAAATCCAGTCCAGAAAAAATCTTATATATTTTGGAGTATAAATGATCTTTAAAAGATATAGTCTGCATGAGGAGATAATACAGATGCCTGGATGATCGGTAACTCGGTTTGAAATAACTCATAATTGCAGTTACTTCAAATGACAAGTTATATTATTGATTTTTTAACTCTATTAATTAACCGTTACTTTTCGTCTCTTTAGCTCGCTCATGGAAAGATATACAAAAGCATCGCTGAAGAACGGTTCCGTAAAAATGTATATGTTGAAAACAAGATGAAAATTGACGAGCACAACAAGAGGTATGAACAAGGCCTGGTCTCATATAAATTAAGTATGAACCATTTTGGAGATTTAGTAAGTACCCAAACATTTTATTATTTTACATTTTGTGTTTGGAGGGAAGAAATAGATAATTTAAAATTAGTTCCTGCTTCCGTAAAGTAAAAATATCTTAGATAAAATTAGAACGTCACAAAACCAGTGGAAATAGAAATTATTTATTTTGAGTTTATTAATAACCAATTTTTAGTTACATGTTTCGATATCTATTTTTAGTTTCTTTTTAAAAATTAACTATTTTCATTGCACACATCAGTCTTTACTTAATATGATTAAATAATAACGAATTCATTAGTTGATATGTTCATTATTATTTAATATTAATTGTCTTATATATAATAGAATAGTGAATAATAAATAGTAATAGAGAACAAATTATATCGAGGTTTGGACTAAGAACACTTTATGCTTAAAGTAATTAAATATTATAAATTTTACAGCACTCTAGCTGTAGCTAGTGCCTGCTATGTTCAAGTTAATGATGACCATTTTTATTATATTCTGCGGCACTCATCCTTCCCTCTAAGGTCGATGGTGCCATTCAATCCCTTACTATATCCAGTATATGCTATGCAATAATTCACTGATTAACAGTCTACTGTTAATCTTTAATATATTTCGGTTCTCGGTATAATTTTCACATTAAGAAGTTTTTTTCTACTTAATTTTAAACTGTTTTGGTTCAATTATCAATTTTTTGTTTGACTTTAATAGTCATTCGGACTGTCATACATTCACTAACATTGTAAGAAATATTGTCTATCACTCATATAAACAAATGGCTGATATCATTTCGTTACAGACCAATGAGGAGTTCCGATTAATGATGAATCGTCTCGACGTCAGAAAACCTCAACTCAGCTTCTTCACGTACTTCGAGACCAAGAACATAACGTTGCCCGAATCGGTCGACTGGAGGGAGAGAGGAGCCGTCACTCCCGTAAAGGATCAGGGGAAGTGTGGTGCTTGCTGGTCCTTCAGCTCGGTCAGTTCTTTGCTGTTTTATCTAAAATTTAATTTTTTTAAGTTTCACAAATGAGAAAATGTAATACTTTGTCTAACACTACAGGGACTATGCAGTCACTAATAAAATGATTAGTACGCTTTACATTTAGATCAAAGATTAATGATAATAAGTATTTCCATAGACAGGCGCCCTCGAAGCGCAGCACTTTCTGAAGACAGGACGACTGATTCCACTGAGCGAACAAAACCTCATCGACTGCTCCGAAGAATATGGTAACGACGGTTGTGATGGAGGTCTGATGGACTTCGCTTTTCAATATGTTGTGGATAACAACGGCATAGACACCGAGAATTCATACCCATACGAGGGACCGGTAATCATTCAGTCTAATTAATCTATATTCTCTGATAGAAATGTTACATATCTAGGTAATCTTCTCACTAACTGCACAATGAATGCCACGCAACGTTCATAGAATGTCTGGAGTTGATTCTCAAAAAGCTGATCTGAAGTGGTTTTTGATGTTCTGTTTGTTTTGAAATTGATTTCGATTCATGGAGTTCAGCAGAGGCCGGAATAGGTGGTAGTCGTCTGGAGTTAGATCTGGGGAATATGGACTGTGGGATAAAAGGTCCCATTCAAAGCTTAATATTTTATTAATGCTAAGCTGACCTCGGTTAGAAGGTGGTAAACCTAAACACCAAGCCTGGAAACGTAACCGACTTTGAGCGACTCTCTGCTTCTTTGCTACACATCTAGAGTTGTCACTCGCACTGATTGGGTTGGGATTTTGATCTACAAATTTTCTGTGTGCTACCAATCCATTTAGAGTCATAAATGACAAAATTCTCTGAGTGAAATTTGGAAAACCATTTTGGCACATCCATTTATCCTCATAAATACTGCACATGTTTTTTATGAGCCTCTTATAACGCTTACCTTTTTTAAAAAATTATAGCAAAATGTACCAATGATGAAGCATATTTTATTCCATATTCACAATAGAATAGCAAACACAATACTAAACAATTTTTTTCAATAGACAACAGAAATGGTTGTTATCAGATAGTATCGGATCCATGATGTAATTAAGGAAAGCTTGGATTTTATTAATTTTTTATTATAGTATCTGTAGGAAAATTAATGCTTTCAGAGATAAATGTCTTACATGCTTTTTGCCACACCAAAACAAACATGGATAAATAAAATATAATTCACTTTTCCCATTTTTGGTGGCCTCGATCCGAATTTAATGTTTTACAGAGATGTAAATAAAATTCTGAGGAAAAGGAGGATGTGTGTGAGAATAGACATTGCAGACAAGTAGGTGCTTCGTCATAACAATGCCCGTTCCACAAGATCATTTTCATCACGGAATTTTAGACAACAAAATGCATTCCTGTTGTTCCCCAGCCTCTTTCTTTTCCTGATCTGAGTCCTTGTGACTTTTTTCTTTCCCTGAAATTGAATAATGTCTTAAAAGGAAGTATTTTTAGGGCTCTGGAAAACATTCAAAATAATTTCACCGCCTTGTTAGAGACCCTACCAGTTGAAACCTTTCAGCAATGCTACCAAGACTGGGAACAATGATTCCGTCGGTGTATAACTGCCAACCGGAACTACTTTGAAAGAGATTGCTTGATCATGGACAATTATTGATTTCTTTCGAATTGTCAATCAAATGATTGTAATTTAAATTCTACAACCTCAAACAAACTTTAAGTAAAGAGCTTGATAAAATTTTTGCATTTTTTAGTGACAATTGTTTTCTAATTTTCAACAATGAAGCACGAAGATATGCTTATCCTATTCTCTTAAATTTTCATAAGAGGCAGATTGGTTCTACATTTTTATGTTTAACCTAATATCGGATAGATCTTTATAAGGCCTGAAGGACAGGGTTTATATCTGGTAAGGAATGTAAAGAATGTATTCTTCTAAGAACATAAAATAATAATAAAAGAATGTTGATTATTTCTGAAAGAGTCTGTTGTACAATATTTGTTAACAGGTGGCAGATTGTAGATATAATACGACAAGTGTTGGGACATCAGCAACTGGCTACGTGATCATCCCGGAAGGTGACGAGAGAGCTCTGGAAGAAGCAGTGGCCACGATAGGGCCAATATCAGCAGGAGTGGACGCCAGTCATACTTCCTTCCAGTTCTATTCCGGAGGTGCATTTTCGAAATAAATATGAAATTTAAATATAGCCCTTGTTATTCAAACTCGTCCGAGTTCTTTATTTTAGTGATTATTAATGCTAATCAACTACTAATATGATATACATTGTCCAATCGAATCAACTTTCTTATATCAGTCGCCAGATTATAACTAGCTTTACCTCATACTGAATGCTAGATATCATTTTGGACATCAATGATATATGAGGGTTCGGTTCTGATCTTTATTATTCCTAAACTGATTATAATCTAATGACTTGATTCCACCTCAATTATGTTTTGCTTCCTCACTACCGAAGGTAGGGAAACATTCTATTCGTGCGAGAGGATAAAAAAATTTTGTGCTCAGAATCGAAAATTTTCACTCGCATTCTACGTTTCAGAAATCAAGGATCAAATTTGGTTCGGTGTCTGTAGACAAATCGATGTAACGAGCATTTCACCTACTACCGTTTATCCGATTTTCATGAAATTTTCAGGAATTGTGCGGGTTGGTGTCTAGCTGGTCCCATATACATTTTATTAAATTCTAACCAGCACTTCCGCTTACGCTCGCGCAAACAAATTTTTGTAGATACACCAATATTTCAGAAACTGCTAGTTCGATTTAGCTCAAATTTGGATAAAAGGTAGGTATTTGTGAAAAAATAACGTAGGGTCAATTTTATTGAATTTTGTCCATTGCTTTCTCTTATAAATAAACAAACGTGTTTTCCTTGATACGTATATATATCTAAAACCGCAAGTTTGATTTGGCTCAAATTTGGAGAGAATTTAGGGATTGGTAAACGTAAAATGAAATAATGCATCAATTTAATCAAATTCTATCTTATACTCCAAAAACAAAATCCTTCTGCTTTTAGATCAGGAAATGTGTTATTTGATATGTCTATAGTCTGAAAACGGCGCTTTCAATTTGACCCAAACTTGGAAAAAATTCGGAAAGCATTGTAGAAATTACTTAATATCAATTTCATTGAATTCCATTTAATAATTAAAATTAATATAAATAATTGCTAACAATATAATGGCTGTGAAATTTTGAAGGCACTGATCATATGGCGTGGGAGTTAGGTTATAACAATATTGTTATGGGGTTATAAAATTTTAGGTTTTATTCAAAAAACGAGTCGATACTGTATTGTTTGGTCGATTCTAAACATTACTGGCATGACACTTACTGCCTTACTTAGATTTTGTGTAATTTTCAGTAAATTTAAAGTAATTTTTACTAAAAAAAAAGTCTTATTTGTAATTGTGTTTGTTTTCATTGCAGTTCAATCAGTTTGTCTTGTTCATTCCCTCCTTAAATATCGAAGTTGTGTGAACTTAGATATTTACATCCATATTTTTATATTCAAGCTTAATTACTTTTATTCTGACTGAAGAAAACTATTGGTTACGTTACGTTTAACTCCGAACAAACAATAAGTTGAATTTTTCCTATGGATTTTCTATTTAAATCCATTTTACGAACTGAAAACGTACCTATTAAGTATAGATCACTACTATTACTGCAAACGGTCGTATGTAAAAATTTTCAACTTTTATTCTATTTGTGCTAAAGGTGACATTTTGTAGTCTGCAACTGAAAGTAGCCGTCTGCTACGCTGGAAAATAGCAGAGGATAATAAAATATGAAATTATACCAATAAAGTATAAAGAAATAATGAATTTTTACATACGATCTTTTTTACTGTAAGTAGTGAAATGCATGTTCACTATGCGTTGGTATTTTGTTTTTAAATTAATATGGAATCTTCAAATATGCATTTTAATATTAGCTGATAAACGAAATTCATGGATATCAAACTCGCGAATGTTACAGGGCAACTGTATTTCCAAATCGGCTTCTCTCATAGATTTTATTTTCATACGAAAAAATGTATTCCTTGTAAAATAGATAAATTTTAGGCAATGAAAATCGTGAGGAAGCTATATTGACCTTACTCGGCATTTTAACATTGTTGAAATACTAGTTGATCCGTGCGAATAATTCGTAAAGAATATTAATCAGTGGAAAATTGACAAAATAATTAGAATATTAAAGAATTCAACATATCATGAGAAGAAGGTATCATTTCCTATTTTTTCGATAGTTGTAATAGGCCAAGGAAGAGGGGAAAAATGTTTATTAATTAAAACCTGTATCTCAACTAATAGTGGTCCGCAATCGACGATTTTTTATTTTTTTAGGTCTTGTAGATAATTTAGTAATCTTTTAAATAACCATGGGTGCAATCAACAAAAAATGTATACTTTTTAAGTTATTCACAAATAAAGTTTCCTTTCCATCATATCATTTTATTCTGAAATTTCGGAGGACGTAACTACTTTTCCCACCTGAAGGAGAAGAAGATCTTCAAAATGAGTGGCCAGTCATTGCATTTGATGAATTACTATCCGCCCTTTCCATAGCGCCTAAACAAATGATGTACCGTTTTCAATGAAACTTGGCTAGTCTTCTCACCGATGTCGTTTAAATTTATGTACAGAACATAATTCGCCGAAAAGAAGTTGGAAAAAAAGTTATGATGGGTGGTAAAATTAGATTTCCAAATAACTGAAAAACTATACTCTTTTTTTGAGGATGTTGTATATAATTATTATAAAGTTTATTAAATTAGCTAAAAAATCGTTGAACAAGAAATTGAAAACAATTTCTTGCAAAGATAAGGTGTTCTAAATATTTTCCATCCGTTCTACTGCAAAACTTATATCATTTGTTTTGGTTATTAATTTATGGTATGTTGTACAACCAAGCATTGTTGTCTAATTTTCTTAACAAGTTACTAATGATGAAAAAAAAAAATGTATAGGCCATTATTATGAATCATCATTGATTTATTTTCCTTTATGTGACAAGGAAAGTAATGTTACTTTCGATTTATAATTGTTTGGAAATAATAGACCATTGTGCAATAATTTACAGCGTTTTTATAGTAAGACTTGTATACAAGTATTATCTGTTCGAAGTATGGGATGGCTTATTTAAAACTGAAACTGCTTATTTATTTTAGAAATTTCAGTAACTTTCAAATGGACATAAAGTGTACACTTTTTGAGTTATTGGAAATCTAACTTCACCAATCCTTGTAACTTTTTTTACAGCTTCTTTTCGGTTCGAACGACGAGACTGTAGCCAAGTTTTATCGAAATCGGTACACCACTTTATGCGCTACTGTCTATAGGGACACAGGTTTTTTAGCCACCATCATGAAAGAGAAGGGCGGATGGTAATACAGAGTTCCGAGGATCGAGAGACTTCGAATGGATTTTAATGGTTAATTGAACTCTTGACCCCATGCATGTACAAATTATCTTTAAAGCCCTTTGTTTCTCTCCACATACCTGCGGCCAACCTACTGCTGAGATATTAAGCTAGAGTAAAATTTCTTAATGCCTGAATTTTTTATGGAAGACCTACATTGTGGTTATGTTTGCAGTTCTGTTTACCGAATAATCATGATTTGATATTTTTTTTCCAAATAAATGGACATTATGTAAATATATCACCAATTGATCTTGGAGTATTTATTGCAGGATTGTACCATGAAAAGTACTGCACCCAATCTGTGGATCACGCAGTGCTTGTGGTTGGCTATGGGACGGACGAGAAAGGACAGGAATACTGGATAATAAAGAACTCCTGGAACGCAACATGGGGAGAGGGAGGCTACATCCGGCTGGCCAGGAACCAGGGCAATCATTGTGGAGTTACCAACAGGGCCAGTTACCCTCTGCTATAGGAGTTTCCATTTTGAAAAAATAAAATTGGCAATTGTTTTTATTTTGTAATATAAATATTTGCAAATATTACGGTAACTATTACATATGCTTACTATATTCCATTGGCATAAGGAAAATCCCTAAAAATATCTCTTTTTTTATGGGTGGTATGTGATAGATCCTAATTACTTTTTTGATAGAAAAAGAAATCCTCTGTTGAACAAATCCGATACTTAGGAGTCTACCTGAGAATACATCTAGCTTAGAATCGTCATTAAAGGCTGAAACCAGAAATCGCTCGATTTTTTCGGCTACATCCGTACTTACAAGATAAATATTCTTAGCTTCCAATTAATTATAAGTCTCATATACAAGAATATAATAAGGACTATTTGGACTTACAGAGTTGAGCTGGGCCACACTAAACCATTAAATCCCTCTCGTTTTCAATCCTTGGCAACTAAAATTCGTCGTAAAATCCTTAGTGCTCCTGAAGATTCCACTCTTTCACGAATAAAACTCTCCAAGACGACCTCAATGTCCTATGTATCTCCAATTTGTCATAATCCAGACAGCTATCCTTTCATAATAAACATCAGAACAATCCGAACTCTTTCGTTTCTAATCCCGAACAACCCTCCGAGACGTCTGATAGAAGATGATCTCGTGATTTCCTAATGTAGAAACTATATCAGAGTACTGTTAATAAGTACTTTCTCTACAAGCCTATTCATGACATAATATTTTTATCTTCACATTTACTAGATTTATTTTTATTTAATATAGTTGTCAATTTCATAAATAAAATTTAAAAAATAATTTGTCTACTATTAAGTAACCAGTGATGTTGATTTATTCACCAGATGTATATTACAAATTCTATTTATACTAAAATCCAAACACTGCATAACCCTTAATCCACAAAGTAAAAGCTTTTAAATACAAAAATTAAAATTATTCATGAGACGATAAATCGATTATATCTTATTTTATGTATCAGATTTTTCTTTAAATTTTTTCTGCATGTTTATGGCAAAGATATAATATGATAAATAACTTTTTGGGTTTGAATTTTCGAATATTTGCGATGTTATGATTGACCAAAAATTTTCAAAACCGCACTTCGTTTCAGCTACATACTTAATAACCTTAACTTAAACGGTCAACATAATCATATTCTATGGAAATATGATCATTTTGTCAGTTGGAGATCAGAGTTGCCACGCTACTTGTTGCAGAAGAGTCCCTGGGATGAAATACAATAATAATTTCACTCAAGAAAAAAAAATCGTTCTGCACTGAGAAATGGAAATTAACAAACAGTTTTAATGTATTTTTCCATATTTGACTTTAAAAAATTTATTCGAAAAACATTAAAGTCATTTCCTAGCTATTTAAGAATCAAATAATCGCAGGTAATTGTTAGATTTCATCGACATTTTTTTACGGAAATAATTCACTTTTAATAACTTGTTTCTTAGAATCGCCCATTTATAATATAAATAAAGATTATAACTTGAGAAACAATAGCGAGATAAAATAGGTTACAGCTGATCTGAAAATGACCAAGGTAACAACACTGATAATCCAATTTGTTGAACATTGATAAGTAGCATAACCTAACCTTACAAAGGCAACATATATATTAACTAATAGAAAATTAATTTTTTTTCATTACCATTAAGTTATTGTAATACAGATACTATTAAATATTTTATTTATTGTTTTTCTTGCTTTTAAAATAAGTAAGTAATTACTACTATATATTTTAAACTAATACTAATATATTTATTTGAAATTTGTGATGTCAGTTGTTTGGTTGCAAGGGGGTTGTTAAATATATTGGGTGAGCATTTGTTATTTTATCGCTAGTGTTATTTCATCAGTGCATGTTCCTTCTGCCCTATATCATTTCACCTGCGTGTCGAATTTTATACAGTAAAAAAGTACGTATTTATTCATAAATTAACTATACATGATAGTTGTAAGAGAAAAATATGTTCTGAATAAGTTGATAAAGATATAGGAGCTAGTTTTAAAATTATAGCTACCATACGATAAAGCAGATAGCTTTGGCATTACTCTATCTTATTCTAGTCTATCTTATTCTATCTACCATATTATCTGATTCTATTGATCACATTATTACATTAAAGAAGTTAAGATTTATACATGTTTTTATTTATGTATGTTGTTTATTTCGTACTTATTATGTAATGGAGTGTGAAGTATTTGGTGATTATTTTTCATTCAACTGGAATAATTGTACATGTACATCCATACATGATTTATATAACACTATAATTTATATTATTTATTGTTTTTCTAAGCATGAGTGAATTAAAAAAAAATTTAACAAATATTCGAAGGGGAAAAGTGATCATTATTATTGATTATTTTTTATTTTGAGCGTTTTTCATGAATATAACCAAGCAGCACTAGCGGATCCAGGATTTAATTTTGGGGAGGGCTTCAGCCCGAAAGCTGTTTTTTTTCATAAATTACTTTGGAAAAAAAGAAAGAAACTAACTAACTGTATGAAATGGTGTTTAAGTGATTCCTAAAGCCCTTTTAAATGTAATTACACAAACAATAATACTTTAAGAGATAATTTTTTAATATTTTTTACGATAAAACATGGCTATATTTTACCATTTTGGGGGGGCTTCAGCCCGAAAGCCCCTCCTCCGTAGATCCGCCCGTGCCAAGCAGCTATAGACCAGTCAGGGAGAAGAAAAGAAACTTTTTTTCTCCTTTCAGACATTCAGTAAAACGGATGAAATTTTAACTATACATTGCATAAATAAATAGAACCAATGTTTATAACCTCTTTTACAAAAAAAAATCTGGTGCGCGCAACACACAACTTTCACTTACCGATCTACTTTTTATAGAAATTATTTTCTGGCAATGCTGGGCCATTATAAAATTTTTTGAAGTGCATTTTAAACGGAGTTAAAGCTTAAAGCTTACAGATAACACGTAATTAAGACCATTATAATTACAAACTGTCTATTTAATATATCGACGACACGCAATAAAAATCTAGTCACTTCATCTGCTTTTATAAACCACACAACTTTCTTTGCTTTTATAAACAACAGAATGACTAACTCAAATTTAAACATTTTTGAGTGATGTCATTTTAGTGATATTTTTAGTTGAAAAAGTTATCTATGCAGATAATGAGTAAGTTGATTCCAGAGGTGGTGATTGCAGTGTTGAAATATAGAACTGAGAATAAAAGTATAAATTTAGGTGCTTACTTCTTATGAAAGATGTTCTTAGGAAAGACACTTTATTAAATATCTGTAGAAAAAAGTTTTTTTTAGCCTCAACAATTAAAAGAGTATATTTTAAATTTATTCAAATTTCCGCCTCTTCAGAGAAAAAAACTAAAGACCATATCTTATCCAATTTTAACGATTTTTTTTTTGTTTTGTTTTTTAGGAAATTTCATAAACTTTTAAAAAAATATTTACACTATCCCCAAAAAAGTGTATACTTTTTGAGTTATTCGGAATTTAATTTTAACATCCCTCGTAACTTTTTTTCCAGCTTCTTTTCGTTAAAGTAAGTCATATAGATAAATTTAAAGGGTGTCGAGAAAATGACTTTAGCGAAGGTTCATTGAAATTTGTACATTCGTTTAGGCGCTACAGTCTATAGGCAACGCAGGTTTTTCTGCATTTTTATTTATTTTTTCTCCTTTATTAATTTATCAAATTCTTTCAAAAGTTATAAACCATATTAAAGGTACTTTAGAGGAAGACATATATGAACATTGGGCATTTAAGTGACATCAACGGGGATAATACCTAAATGATATTAAAGACCACTTTATTATATAATGATACACCGAGTTTGGTCAAAATCGTTAGAGCCGTTTTTGAGAAAATCGTAAAAATGTGTTTCAGCGTTGATATAAAATGCCACTTCCGGTTAGCCGATTTTAAGGAAGAAGTTGCTGTCACATCTAAGGCATATATCTATCTTAAATACGTATTATCAGTTTTGTACGAATTTTCGTTTTTGAGCTAGACTGCTAATATACAAACACACAGACCATTTTTTGGGACTTGGTTATTTGGACGCAAGATACCTCAAAACGTGTATTTCCGTTGAAAATTCAGACTCAAAAATTTTCACGATCGCAATACTTACACTTACTGTAAATTTCATATATACGTAAGTGAAAGTAAAAAGTCATCTTCAACTAATGTATTTTTACGCATTTGGTACCCCTTTTCCAATGTGTGCCATTTTGAAATGATTGGCAGACTCTTACATCCGTACATCCGTACATATATTATTACGTACATATTCATATAAAGTGGCACTTCCGGTTAGCCGATTTTAACGAAAAAGTTGCTGTCACATCCGACCCATATACAAACCTTAAATACTTAATATCGATTTCGTACAAACACACGGACACACACACAGACCATTTTGCGATACTTGGTTATTTGAACTCAGGGAACCTCAAAACATGTATTTCCGTTGAAAACTGAGATTCGAAAATTTTCAGGATCGCAATACATACATTACATTACATTACATTACATTACATATATACGTAAGTAAAAGTAAAAAAGACGAAAAAATAATACAATTTTTAAAGAAGTTTTATTTAATTACAATATATTTAATAATAGTTGGCCCGTTCGAATAATTCGTAGAATCTTTTGTTTAGTGAAGAAATAGCAAAACATTATGGAAATAAGTAGTTTCTATTTATTATGTAAGGAAGGAATTAATATTTTATCCTTGGTCGATTACAATATTCCATTAAACATAATAGACAAAAATATTTGTACAAGATGTTTTGCTAAGACCTATTTTTAAACGCTGACTGGAAAGGTAATAAAAGTAATAAAGAAAAAATAATGCCCCGATCATAGGATTTTCTAAATTATTACAAAAAATAAAATGTAAGAACAACAAAATGTCTTTAAGAAATAACAAACTTAACTTAATATATCAGCCAGGAAAAAAAGTGTAGTAAACTATTATACTCCTAAATGCAATGTCTTTAAACAGGAAGACATTATTAAGTATACCAAAACTAATGTACTGTAGCTTTGTTAATAATTGTCCGATTTTCTTTTGGTTTTGAAGATAATTTAGTAATCTTTCTAATTATCATTCGAACAATCCAGAAAAAAATGCATACTTTTTTTATTATTCGCAAATAAAGTTTCTTTTCCTTCATAAATTTTTTTTCCAGAAATTCGGGAAGGGATGATATGACTATTTTTCGCATATGAAGGAGAAGAATACCTTCAAAATGAGTGCTCAATCATGGGATTTGATGAAGAATTGACGAAGTTATGGCGTACCGACAAAAAAAACAGCTTTTAAAAATAATATATAGCATAGAAGAGCTGTGCTGTGATAATCATGGCAACGACTTCACTTTTCATTATGATGCTTTTGTCTGCCGTTAACTGAAACATTCATAACTCCTCAGGATTTTATCCTAATTCAATGTTTCTACAACCCTTGAAAAGCTAAATTATTGCTCTTCAGTACCGTATAAATAATTTTTTGATTTAAAACAGCTATAAAGAGTAAATGAATAAAAACTCGCTAACAGGTTTTTATTTTATAACTTGAGTTTTAAATTTTTTAGGAAGGTACAGTTTGTGTCATTTTGTGTAGTTTGAAAGTCTCTATATCTCTGCAAAATTTCGTGTGAATAGGTGGAAGAATATTGAAGTTATGACAGTTTTTGTGATTTTCGAAATGAAATCAAAGAGGGGGAGCCTTAGGTCAAATTGTATTTAAAAAAATTATTTTTCTATTTCAAAGAAAATTCGTATTCGAGGGACTTTCGAGCTGCGAAATAACAATCTCAACTCTGCTTATCCTTAAAAAAAATGTCAACATACGTTACTCCTTCAGTCAACAAAAATTGTTAAAATTATAAATATTTCTAATCGATTTTTACTTATTATTTTTGTTTTTGTTTTGTAGACAATTTAGTAATCTTTCTAATCATCATGAGTACAATCCAGAAAAAAAATGCATACTTTTTGAGTTATTTGCAAATAAAGTTTCTTTTCCTTCATAACTTTTTTGCTAGAAATTTTGGGGGGATATGACTATTTTTCGCATATGAAGGAGAACAATACCTTCAAAATG